CAATAAATCAAAATGAGCCGGGCGTGGTAGCGCGCGCCTGTAGTTCCAGCTACTTGGGCGACTGAGGCGGAAGGCTCGCTGGAGCCCAGCAGGTCGAGGCTGCGGTGGTCGGGAGCGGCCACTGCCCTCCAGTCTGGGCAACAGAGTGAGACTCCAACTCAAAAAAAAAAAAAAAGGAAAGAAAGAAAGAAAGAAAAATTAGTCGGGCATGGGGGCACATGCCTGTAGTTCCAGCTACTTGGAAGGCTGAGGAGGAAGGATCACCTGAGCCCAGCAGGTCAAGGCTGCCACTGCACTCCAGCCCGGGTGACAGAGTGAGACTCAAACAAACAAACAAAGTCAAGACAGCTTACCCATCTGAACCCAACTAAGGCAAAAGTAGCCTAGTGTGATGGTAAAAATATGATTTTTGTGGTTTGGCTGACCTAGAATAGAATCCCGGCTCTGCCATTATGAGCTGTGTGGCCTTGGACACGCCCCTTAACCTCTCTGCACCCCAGTTTCCTCATCTGTACAAGGGAAATAATAAGCCTGACCTCCCAGGGCGTTGTGAGAATGGGTATGACACACCTGCTGTGGTACCTGACATACAAGAATTAATGCATTCCACAAACATTTCTTGAACATTGTCAGTTCCTCCTTCCCGGCTCCTCCTCGGTCAATGGACGGGCTTCTAAAAGGCAGAGGTCCAGGCGCAGAAGGCAGGGGCTCACCTTGGCCTGTGATGGCCTTCAGCAGCCTCTGCACATCCTTGTCCACGCTGAAGCTCAGGAAGGTCCTGAGGGTGCCCAGAGTGCCCCAGGCTGCAGTCTGTAAGAACAGGGGCAGTTCGGAGGGGCCAATCTGCCCACACCCCTCCTCAGGACCTCGGCAGACTCCTGGCATGGCCTCAGGGTCTGGCCTCCGCTTTCCTGCTTCCCCATCCTCTCACAGCCCCTGAGATGACATGTTAAAGATGACTTTTAAAGTCCTGGCAGCCCCCACCTTGTCGGCAAGGCCCAGATGGCTAAGGATCTCCTGGGTCAGGGACGGCACCGTCATCTCGCTGCTCACGGACATGGTGTGACTGGCTGCCCTGGGGAAGGAGAGAGGCACTGACAGAACTGAACTTCCCAGCCCTGCTGGGCCTCCTGTGACCTCGGACCAGGGAGCCTGGGCTCCCATTGCCTGTTCCTTTCCCTCGTGGCAGGTCTGAGAGCCAGAATTGCAGTTGAAGCAGAGGGGCAAGGGGAGACCCCTGTCTTCCCCAGCTCTCACCCCTCCCTTGGAAAGCCGGGATGCTCCAGGAACAAGTGCCAACCCAGCCCTCCCTGACTCCAAGCCTTCTCCTCAGTCCTTGGTCCAAAGTGATGCCCCTTACTATTCTTTTTTTTGAGTTGGGATCTCACTCTGTTGCCCAGGCTGGAGTGCAGTGGCAGGATCATGGCTCACTGCAACTTCGATCTCCTGGGCTCAGGCGAGCCTTCCATCTCAGCCTCCCGAGTAGCTGGGACTACAGGTGCACACCACCATGCCCAGTTAATTATTTTATTTTGTAGAGACAAGGTCTCACTATGTTGCCCAGGCTGGTCTCGTACTCTTGGGTGCAAACAATCCTCCTGCTCAAAGTGCTGCGATTACAGGCTTGAGCTACCTCGCCCAGCCAGGACACCCCCTTGGGAGGTCTATGTCTCTTCTTCCCGTGGGTTCTCCTGGGGCAGTGCAGGGGGTTGAAGTGAGAGGGCGAGATTAAGCACATAGAATGGAAGACAACTCCAAACAGCACCACCCCGTCTGCAGTCCAGCCCACAAGCAGGTCCCCAGTGCCCATACAAAGCCACCTACCTGCTTGTCTGCTGTCCACCCTCAGTGTCTCAGGCCTGGGTCAGCAGGTCTAGTCTCTGAGCTGAGGTGAAGAAGTGTTCTCCCAGGCACATGGGTGCTTGGACAAGAGAGGAGGTAGTCTCATGTCAAAAGAAAAAACTCGGTGGTTTTTCTTTTTGAGAAACTTACCCATGGCAGGTCTTTCTGCCATGGATTTTCCTTTTACTTTCCCTTCTTCTCACTAATAAACTGTTTTAAAGCTTAAAAAAAAAAAGAAGAAAAGAAAAAACTTGACTGGGCATGATGGCTCACACCTGTAATCTCAGCACTTTGGGAGGCAGAGGTTAGAGGATTGCCTGAGCCCAGGGGTTCAAGATCAGCCTGGGCAACTTGGCGAGACCTCATCTCTACAATCAATCAAAAAATTGCCTAGGCATGGTGGCACCCGCCTGTAGTTCCGGCTACTTGGAAAGCTGAGGCAGAAGGATCGCCGGAGCCCAGCAGGTCGAGGCTGTGGTGGCCGGGAGCATGCCACTGCACTCCAGTCTGGGTGACGGAGTGAGACTCCAACTCAAATTAGAAGGTCAAAAAAAAGGAATAAAAACTCATTCCTCCCTCCTCCAAGCAATCAACAAGGTGCCTAGCATGAGGACCCAGGTCCTGTGCTTACCCGAGGGTGCTGGAGGTGAGGTGGGCGTCGTTGCCGTGGCCTGGTGGCTTGCTTGTGTAGGCACCAGCGCCTGTGTGGCCCGATGGAGGAGAGAGGGGTGTGTGCAGCCCAGGCTGGGCAGCCGGTCAGATGACCCGTCTCGCAGACCAACCCAGCTGTTGTCTCCGACTCTGGCCCCTCCCAGACGTGGGAGAGGACCAGGCTATACCAGGGCCCACGGGCAAACCCCACCCTCCCCAGCATCCCTCCTCCCAGGAACTGGGCCTCAACCCTCTTGGAGGCTCACCCCAGACACAGAAGGCCTTGTGCATTTCCCTGTGGGGCCAGGTGGGTCTGCAACAGCCCAGCCTCCAAGTCCAGCCTCTGACTGGGCTCTGCCTCTGGCTCCGGCTCCCTGGGGGGCAGGTCAGACAGGCTCCAGGCCGATTTCAAGGCTGATAGAGAAAAACCTGTCAGGGCACATACCGGCAGGGCACCCCAAGCCTGCACCCCAGAGGGGGTCCCAGCCCAGAAACTCCCTGGAAGCCTGACTTTTGAGAGCCAGCCTGGGAGGGGAGGGCAAGGGCACTGTTTATATCTGGGGTGAAGGCAGGGCCGGGTATTCGGAGGTGGGAGCAGGCTGGCTGGCGGAGTCAAAAGAGAAAAATGCAAGGGTGTTACCTGGGAGGCAGCACCAGCTCCCCAAGGGCAGCAGGGAGACGGGGGAGGCTCCCTGGGCCCCATTTCTCAGACTCCTTCTGTTGCCTTTTGGCAGCCAGGGCTCTTGGGCTGTTTTAGCTGCAGGTGATGCAACCCCAGCAGCTGGGCTTGAGGCTGTGGGTACACAGAGCAGCAGGTGAACAGCCCTGGGGAGCCTTGGGCCTGCCTTCAGCCTTTGCTCAAGCCTCACAGCGGGCTCCCTGGGGTCCCGGCACTGTATCTTTCCTGCCTCCCTGGAGGGGCCAGGTGGGGGCTGGCCACAGATTGCTAGAGCTGTCTCCACCCCTCTGCCACTATCCCAACCCAGGAAGGCCCTAGCTGGTCTTCCCATATCCCTGGAGGAGGGACCTGCAGCTCCCACCACCATCCTCCCTTTCCTCCCACCGACCAGGCCGGAGGAGACACCATGAAGGGACATTTCTGTGGTGGCCGCGCAGCTCCTCCCTTTTCTCTCCCGTTAAAGTAGAGACTGGCCGGGTATGGTGGTTCATGCCTGCAAGCCCAGCACTTTGGGAGGATTGCTGGAGCCTAGGAGTTTGAGACCAGGCTGGGCAACTTATAGAAACCTCAGAGAGAGAGAAAAAGAAAGAGAGAGAGAAAGAGAAAGGAATAAAGTGGAGAACATCACCCATGTCAGAATTGGAGAATGTGGGTTTGAGGATAAAACTCGGACTTTTTTTTTTTTTTTTTTGAGTCAGAGTCTCACTCTGTCGCCCAGGCTGGATGGAGTGCAGTGGCACACTCATGGCCACCGCAGCCTCCACCTGCTGGGCTCAGGTGAGCCTTCCGCTTCAGCCTTCCAAGTAGCTGGAACTACAGGCACGCACCACCACACCCAGGTAATTTTTTTATGTATTGTATAGACAGGGTCTTGCCAAGTTGCCCAGGCTGGTCTCAAACTTCTGGGCTCAGGCAATCCTCTTGCTCAGCCTCTCAAAGTGCTGGGATTACAACTACCGTGCCTGACCCAGACCTTTTTTCCCCCCTCTTGCCCAAATTCCTAACTGAAGGGCCTTGGAGTCACCTCTACCCTCTACAAACCATAAAATATTTTCACACAGGCTTTTTTTTTTTTTTTTTTTGAGACAGTCTTGCTCTATTGCCCACAACTGGAGTGTAGTGGCATGATCTTGGCTCACTATAGCCTCTAACCCTCCTATAGCATCTAACCCTCACTATAGCTCAAGCCTCCAGAGTGGCTGGGACTACTGGTATGTGCCACCACACCCTACTAATTAAAAAAAATTTCTCAGCCGGGCTCGGTGGCTCAGCCTGTAATCCCGTGACTTTGGGAGGCTGAGGTGAGTGGATTGCCTGAGCCCGCGGGTTCGAGATCCACCTGGGCAACTCGGCGAGACCTCTTCTCTACAATAAATCAAAAATTAGCCGGGCGTGGTAGCGCGCGCCTGTAATTCTGGCTACTCGGAGGGCTGAGGCGGAAGGATCGCTGGAGCCCAGCAGGTCGAGGCTGCGGTGACCAGGAGC